GGAGAGAAAATATTTAATGGAGATAATCTAACTTTGCACATTTATTTTGTGAAACCAGTTAGAACATGTATTCTTTATCTTTAGTGGTAGAACTCTCAGAATTGTTGGAAATACTGATGTTTCATAATGAATGATGTAGGTTTGCATTGTCATACATTTATGCCTAATTTATGCTGAAAACACAGCAACCCATGTTCTGATTACTTTACGGAATAGAATATTACGGGATAGAAAAATTACGGGATATTATGGGATAGAAAAATTATTACTACTTTTAAAGGGAAACTATAGTGCCATGGAAACAAAGCTGTATTTCAATGAACTGAAGTGGTCTGGGCTCCTATAGTGTCCCTTTAAGCACACACTCTGATACACACATGTACTGACAGATACACGCTGACAGTTACACACACAATGACAGACACACAGACATCACTGACAGTCAGACACACTGATGTGACATACATTTATTGACAGACACACATTGGCAGATACACACTTACAGTCACACACATATATTCAATGACAAACACAGACTCACTGATTTGACACACACACACATTCACTGACACAAATTAATTGACAGACACACGCACACACACACACTGACAGACACACACTGACACTCATTGTCAGACACACTGTTAGTCACACAATCAGAGACTCTCACTGATTTGACACACACACACACATGCATAAACAGACACACACATACACACCCATATACACTCACAGACACACACATACTAACAGACATACACACACACACTCAGACACACATACACTCACAGACACACACATATACTCACAGACATACACACACACACACTCACAGTGTAATGTAATCTATTAGCTAGCCTCCCTACCTGGTGAGCTGGTGTGGATCCGTCCCTGGGGTCCAGTGGGGCTGCTGTGAAGCGGGAAGCTTACCATCTGAGGCGGTGAGGGAGCTGTGATCTCTCTGCTCTGCTCCCTCGGGCTGTCTACTGATCCCGGGAGACGGAACTACGTCATATTCCGGCTCCCGGCATCAGTAAACGGGGAGCGAGGGAGCAAAGCAGAGAGATCACAGCTCCCTCGCCGCCTAGAATGGTAAGCTGCCCGCCAGGGGTGTCTCTATTAGCTAGCCAGCAGGTCAGCTCTTGCTCCCCCCACCCCCCCATGACAGGGTAATTACAGGGGACTCCTCAGTGAGCGTTTGGGGGCGGCATTTTTTGCACCTTAAATAATGCCGCCCAAGGTATATGCCTAGTTTGTCTTGGGCTAAATACATCCCTGGCTGTGCCAGCTGAGCAGTTGAAGAAAAATATTTTTTTTTCAACTTCAATCATCAAGAACAGTGGTTGCCAATCCTGTCCTCAAGACACGGTAGTAAATGACAGTCCAGATTTTGTCACTTAACAACTGGAATAGAATAGGATAATCCCTAAAAATTCAACTATTGGTGTGCCTTGAGGATTGGTCTGGCACAAATTTTTCTAGAAGACTACATATGAGTAAGATTAATAGAATTTCAGTAGAAGTAGTCAAAAGTAGAGATTTAAGCATACAGATAATTTATTTGTTTGCTTTATAAATTATGAATTTATTATGAACTTATTGAAATTGTTTTGACAATTATTATCACAAAAGATGCTTGCTTTCAAGATAATTAAGACATTGCACAATACCTAGAAAAGTGTGTGTAGGAAATATAGAGCTTTAATTTTACTCTAGAGAAATTGAGAATAAACAAGTGATCTTTGATTTATTAAAACCTAGTTTGCTTAATATTTACAGAACATTGTGCGAGATTACTATGAAATCCTTGGAATACTTATTAGTTATGAAATCAATGATTGCCTTCACTCAAAAGCTAAATAAAATGTATATGTGCATTATCATACATAGTACCTTTATATTGCTTTTGTATTTTTCTTTTCCATTGAAAATGATTCAATTATTAATCACAAATCAATACACAATCAAGTAAGATTAAGTATTTACTATTTATTGTGGCATAACTCACCAATTATATCCTGTGCTCGTTATTTTTTTTTTCTATTAACAAACTCATAAAACATACTCACTATTCCTCCATGGGCTCTTTGATTGATTGATTGATTTTCAGACTTCTGAATGCTACTCATTTTCTTTGCTATGCTGGTAAATAGTAACTCAACCTCAATATGTGTGGAAATTAGAGATAAACATAAACATAGAAAAATGCTAAAATTGTTGTGGTCCTATAGTGACAACTTGGTACTTAAAGTAGTATTCCAAGCACCATAACAACTACCATAACCACTACAACACCATTGTGGTTATGGTTCTAAAATATTATGACTGCTTACAGTAAGGTCCATTGTAAAGTGTCAAACCATTTTAGAAGGGTTTGACATCTGACCTAGGCTGTACCAGGATGCCACTCTGTACCTCCACTACTGCTTAGTAAGAGTAGAATGCTCAAGCTCAGGAGATTCAGTTAGATTTCCTGAGTTATGCTCTGCAGTGTAGTGTTTGCTCATTGGCTGAGAGCATCAGCTAATCTTTCTCATAAAATGAGCTAAGCTCTGCACCCTCCATCGTAGCTCAGTGAAGAGAGCATCTGGCTCTCTAGTAGGCTGTAGAGGAGGTGGAAAATGGTGGATTGCCTAGCGTATGATAATGTAGGAAGTCAAACTGTTCTAAACGGTTTGACTCCTTACAATGAGGGACTGTAACCTGCAACCTGTTAGAGCGTACTGTAGTGGTTATGGTGCTTGGAGGGTTCTATTAAGTTGTTAACAATTCATTCCACAACCACGAGTCCATTTCAAGGATTTCATATTTTTTCTTCTTCATTGTCTGAATACAGATAGGATCTGCCCTTGCATTGCTGATGGTAGCAGACAAATGCTTCATGTTTTTTGTTTTAAGTACTTTTGCTATTTCAGGGTATCTTGAAACAAGAAGCTTTGTGATGAAAGCAGGAACATACAATTTTAGGCTTAAACTATTATTTTATTAAAAAAATCCACAACAACACTGTTTTCTTTATTTTAGATTTGCCATCTCTTACAACGATAGTGTTCCAAACGAGTACAAAATGATTACCTTTTTTAGGACAGAGTATTCAGAAATAGTCAATATGGAAGCAATCAACAAAGCTGACTTACAGCACTTGGCTCCAGTGGTTTTGTTTGTTATTGAATTTGTGGTTTTAGGTAAAAAGATATGAAATGATCAACTTGTTAGATGCTCAGTATGATTTCCAAAAAAGATATAGTTATTTAGTGTAACAATGGGTTCAATGGCACATGTAATATAATGTGTTTGGCTGTACAATAATACCGATTTAGGCAATGACGTTGGATTTAGTGTACAGCGGTTCCTACACTGTTATATCTTAAAGGAACACTACGCATCACTTAAGCATTTCAGGTGCCTTTGGGATTAACTGAATGCCTTATTTTATAAAATTTGTGTCAATCAGACAGTTGTAATGGGTTCCTGTTCACACACACTTATTCAATGAATAAGACTCCACAAGTAAATTCCAGACAAATGTTTCAGCCAGGGAAGTATTAAAAGACATTTGATTAAAATGAAAAGTTTGAAACAAACTTTCATAGAAGTATAAAGCTAAGTGACACAAATACAGTTTAATATACATAAGAAGAGTTTTCAAAAAGATGGCTTTATATAAGACTCACTGCTTTAAGCTTGCTAAAAAAAAGGCCCTCAATACTTTAATTACCATGAAGGAGTTCTGTGTGTATAGAACCAGGACCAGGGGTAGGCAACCGTTTGGCACTCCAGATGTTGTGGACTACATCTTCGTTGATACTTTGCAAGTAGTATGGCTGTCAGAGCATTATGGGAGATGTAGTCTATAACATCTGGAGTGGAGCCTACCCCAGGCCTAGACAATTGTAGAGTATTGTAATTTGGTAAATAATCTATGTTATATGTGTATATCTATAGGGCTTAATACATTGCTGTAAATGTATCTGTAAATGTATCGAGTTAAGGGTAAGGGGGAAACAAATGTCTATCTAACTATTTGAGATGTTAATTAACCTCTAAATCTCAGAAAGCATTAGAGATAGCAGGGTATGCATTTGGTAAATAATGTTTTACAGCTAGCCTTTTATATTATCAATCAAGCCATATGACAATACATGGACTGTCACAATCCTTTGTTAAAAAAAGGACAGCTGCAATACGAGAGGTATAAAACCTGGGAAGTAAGTCAGTATGTCAGTATACATGGGCATCCGCAGGGTGGGTAAGGGGGGCACTTCCCCCCTTTCCCCTCCCCCCCTGGATTTTTCAGCTTGTGCTGATATTTTTCATTTGTGTAATAATAAACTGCAATACCGGTGCCGGCCAGTAGGTGTGAATGGAGAATGGTAGGGATAGGAAGCTACAGCTTATCCCTGCTTCTTTCTCCCGACTGCATCAGCAGGGGAGCAGCACAGAATGCAGCCAGCAAGCATGGGGGGGGGGCAACCTACAGGCCAGGTAAGTGAGGGATGGGGGGGCTGAAAGGTTCTGCAAGGGGCAGGAGGGATCAGCAATGAATAGGAAGAGCGGAAGGGGCAGCAAGAAGCAAAAATGAGCAGGAAGGGTCAGCAAGGAGCAGGAAGGGTCTGCAAGGGGCAGGAGGGGTCAGCAAGGAGTAGAAAGGGGCAGCAAGGAGCAGGAGGGGTCAGCAAGGAGTAGGAAGGGTCTGCAAGGGGTAGGAGGGGTGAGCAAGGAGTAGGAAGGTCAGCAAGGAGCAGGAGGGGTCAGCAAGAAGCAGGAAGGGTCTGCAAGGGGCAGGAGGGGTCAGCAAGGAGCAGGAAGGGTCAGCAAGAAGCAGCAAGGAGCAGGAAGGGTCAGCAAGGAGCAGCAAGGAGCAGCAAGGAGCAGGAAGGGTCTGCAAGGGGCAGGAGGGGTCAGCAAGGAGTAGGAATGGTCTGCAAGGGGCAGGAGGGGTCAGCAAGGAGTAGGAAGGGGCAGCAATGAGCAGGATGGGTCATCAAGGAGTAGGAAGGTTCTGCAAGGGGCAGGAGGGGTCAGCAAGGAGTAGGAAAGGACAGCAATGAGCTGTCCTTTCCTACTCTGTCCTTTCCTACTCTGTCCTGTCCTTTCCTGCTCATTGCTGTCCTTTCCTACTCCTTGCTGACCCCTCCTGCCCCTTGCAAGGAGTAGGAAGGGTCTGCAAGGGGTAGGAGGGGTCAGCAAGGAGTAGGAAAGGGCAGCAAGGAGCAGGAGGGGTCAGTAAGGACTTGGATGGGTCTGCAAGGGGTAGGATTGGTCAGCAAGGAGTAGGAAGGGACAGCAAGGAGCAGGAGGGGTCAGCAAGGAGTAGGAAGGGTCTGCAATGGGGCAGGAGGGGTCAGCAAGGAGCAGGGAGGGGCAGCAAGGAGCAGGAAGGGTCAGCAAGAAGCAGGAAGGGTCTGCAAGGGGTAGGAGGGTTGAGCAAGGAGTAGGAAGGGCAGCAAGGAGCAGGAGGGGTCAGCAAGGAGTAGGAAGGGTCTGCAAGGGGTAGGAGGGGTGAGCAAGGAGTAGGAAGGGCAGCAAGGAGCAGGAGGGGTCAGCAAGAAGCAGGAAGGGTCTGCAATGGGCAGGAGAGGTCAACAAGAACAGGAAGAGTCCAGCAGAAGCAGCAAAAAAGAACAGAAAGAGGGTCAGCAAGGAGCAGGAAGGAGGAGCAAGGAGTAGGAAGGGTCTGCAAGGGGGCAGGAGGGGTCAGCAAGGAGTAGGAAGGGGCAGCAATGAGCAGGAGGGGTCAGCAAGTAGTAGGAAGGGTCTGCAAGGGGCAGGAGGGGTCAGCAAGGAGTAGGAAAGGACAGCAATGAGCAGGAGGGGTCAGCAAGGAGTAGGAAGGATCTGCAAGGGGTAGGAGGGGTCAGAAATGAATAGGAAGAGTGGAAGGGGCAGCAAGAAGCAAAATGAGCAGGAAGGGTCAGCAAGGAGCAGGAAGGGTCTGCAAGGGGCAGGAGGGGTCAGCAAGGAGTAAAAAGGGGCAGCAAGGAGCAGGAGGGATCAGCAAGGAGTAGGAAGGGTCTGCAAGGGTAGGAGGGTGAGCTAAGGAGTAGGAAAGGGCAAAGCAAAAAGAACAGGAAGGTCAGCAAGGAGCAGGAAGGGTCAGCAAGAAGCAGCAAGGAGCAGGAAGGGTCAGCAAGGAGCAGCAAGGAGCAGCAAGGAGCAGGAAGGGTTTGCAAGGGGCAGGAGGGGTCAGCAAGGAGTAGGAAGGGTCTGCAAGGGGCAGGAGGGGTCAGCAAGGAGTAGGAAGGGGCAGCAATGAGCAGGATGGGTCAGCAAGGAGTAGGAAGGGTCTGCAAGGGGCAGGAGGGGTCAGCAAGGAGTAGGAAAGGACAGCAATGAGCAGGAGGGGTCAGCAAGGAGTAGGAAGGGTCTGCAAGGGGTAGGAGGGGTCAGCAAGGAGTAGGAAAGGGCAGCAAGGAGCAGGAGGGGTCAGTAAGGACTTGGATGGGTCTGCAAGGGGTAGGATGGGTCAGCAAGGAGTAGGAAGGGGCAGCAATGAGCAGGATGGGTCAGCAAGGAGTAGGAAGGGTCTGCAAGGGGCAGGAAGGGTCAGCAAGGAGCAGGAAGAGGCAGCAAAGAGCAGGAGGGGTCAACAAGGAGGGTCTGCAAGGGGCAGGAGGGGTCAGCAAGGAGTAGGAAAGGACAGCAGGGAGCAGGAGGGGTCAGCAAGGAGTAGGAAGGGGCAGCAATGAGCAGGAATGATCAGCAAGGAGCAGGAAGGGTCAGAAAGGAGTAGGAAGGGTCTGAAAGGAGTAGGAAAGGGCAGCGAGGAGTAGGAAGGGTCTGCATGGGGCAGGAGGGGTCAGCAATGAGTAGGAAGGGACAGCAAGGAGCAGGAGGGGTCAGCAAGGAGTAGGAAGGGTCTGCAATGGGGCAGGAGAGGTCAGCAAGGAGTAGGAAGGGTCAGCAAGGAGCAGGAGGGTGAAGTAGAAGGAGCAAGAAGGGGCTGCAAGGAGCAGGAGGGGTCAGCAAGGAGCAGGAAGGGGCAGCAAGGAGCAGGAAGGGTCAGAAAGGAGTAGGAAGGGTCTGAAATGGGTAGGAAGGGTCTGCAAGGGACAGGAAGGGTCTGCAAGGGGCAGGAGGGGTCAGCAAGGAGTAGGAAGGGGCAGCAAGGAGCAGGAGGGGTCAGCAAGGAGAAGAAAGGGTCAGCAAGGAGTAGAAAGGGCCTGCAAGGAGCAGAAAGGGTCTGCAGGGAGCAGGAAGGGGCAGCAAGAAGAAAGAAGGGGCAGCAAGGAGCAGAAAGAATCAGAAGGATCACAAAGGTAAAGTTTGAGAAGGAACAGAAAGGGACTACATGGAACAGAAAGGGACTATATGGAACAGAAAGTGTCAGCAAGGAGCAGAAAGGGGCAGAAAGAAGCAGGAAGGGGCAGCAAGAAGGAGGAAGGGTCTGCAATGAGCAGAAATGAGCAGGAGGGGAAATCAAGGAACAGAAAGGGTCAACAAGTATCTGGAAGGGGCAGAAGGAGCATAAAGGTAAAGCAGGAAAAGGAACAGAAATGAGCAGCAAGGAGCAAGAAGAGTTTGCAAGGAGCAGAAAGTGTCTGCAAGAAGCAGGAAGGCACAGCAAGGAGCAGGAAGGGCCTGCAAGGAGAAGGAAGGGTCTGCAAGGAGCAGAAATGGATCAGAAAGAGAAAGGAGCAGAAGGTGACAAGGAGGAAAGAAGACAGTGTCAGAAGAAAAAGAAGACTGTGTCAAATGGAGAAGAAAATTAGATTGGAGCAGGAAGGACAAGTGAGGTGATCCCTCCGCTTCATTCTGGACACCACATCATAAGGCTTTGGTACCTTGGCCTGGCAGGAAACTTTGGACCTTCTCATCTCCCCAGGTAAAAAACATATCAGTGTTAATGTGTTCAATTTTATTTAGTGAGTGTCAGGAAACACAGAGGGTCGCTAGGTAGGGGTGCCGCTGATTGGCTACAACGGACAGCTGGCACTATAAGCCAATCAGTAGCTCCCCATTCATAAAAATTTCAAAAAATGTATGAATCGGGAACTACTGATAGAGCGTCAGCTGACCACTCTAACCAATCAGCGGCACCCAAGTGACACTCCGTTTAAGAAGCCGAATACCACTGAGCAACCTGGAGATCTGGAGCTGGAGGACGCCTTTGGGGTTAAACCATTTGAGAGCGGTTTAACCCCTTACAGGAAAGAGAGCGCCCAGGGGCCTCCTGGCATCATAGCATTTTCATTTAGATGAAGTTGTTATGGTGACCAGAATGTTCCTTTAATTTGCTTAAAGGAACACTATAGTGTGAGGAATACAAACACCATAGTTGTGAAAACGCTATTCACCCTGGCTTTATGTGATAATGACTATGCTCCTCCCCTTCATGACACTGTCAAAAGGGGCCAAGCATGGATGTCATTACAATTATGTCCCCCCCCCCCCCAGAAACATTCCTGTGGACGCCCATGTAAGTATGTAAGCAAGGATTCCATCTAAGCATCTCTTTTGTTAAGTTATGAACATCTTGAACCATGTGAGAGCACAGACCATATAAGCAAGCATGCTCTCCTAGAGCTTGTAACAGGAGTGAAGGTTCCACCAAAGCCTCTGTGTTACTATGCTGAAACAGCTTTGAAAGCTAAAAAGTATTATCATCATATAAATATATTTTTTATATTTTCATAAGACTCAGAATAAACATTAATGAAGAGTTTCTGAAGAACTCAACTGCATGTTATTGTTCAGCTGAAGTATTGCGTCAGAAGGAAGTCGGTTTACGGCACATGTACACATATACTAAATAAGCATTTTCAGTGTATTTTAACCTAGTCATATTTCATATCATGCAGTACATCACTTAACAATAACGTTTTTCAGCTCTGTGGTGCAGAGCATTAAATATTAATAGTATTAAATAAAAATACGACTTCTCGTGGTACGTAATGAAAGACAGCATTTAGATTGCTTTAAGGAGAAGAGTTATACAGTGAGTTGATATGCACATGGTCAGAAAATGCATTCCACAATAATGGAACACATGGCCTGAATGTTGAGGATACAGGTAAAAGAAGAGGTCAAGCATAGGTCCATCATTAGTTCTAGAAAGAATTTTAAGGAATTATAAAGAATATACAAATACTACTATTACTGTACAGCCAAAGATGAAAATAAGGTGTTTTGTAGTATGCCTGAATGATGTATAATCCAGAATTTTGCCATATAACCACAGGCCCTGTGGTTAAATGTCAAAATGGCCCCCTAATCTGTAATTTACAGCAGGCAAGTGAGAAAATAAAGGCCGAAAAACTTATATAACTCTATAGGGAAACGTATTTTTGTCTAAGTTGTACAAAATTCCCATCTCTATCTATATCAGCCAAAGATGTGCAACCTGGAGATTTAAACACAATCTGTACATTAAAAAAATTATATTGATCTAAAATAATATCAATTCCCACTGTGATGTCAAAATGATGTTCCTTTTATAGTAGCATTTTATTATTGAAATTGTAACAGCTAGGCTGTATCTACTCGCCTATTGCATTATCTGATTTGTTTTCGATTCTTTAAATTGTAATTTTAACGTAATTATTTAGGCCTTTGTTGGCTTTTTTATTTTATAAATCCCATAGCTTCATGTCAGAGTAGAATGAAATGCACTGACATAATTACAATAAAAAGTGTCTTCTCTTGTTGCTATTCCCATGGGGGTGGTTAAACGGGCAGCATGCCTATCTTCTTAACTCCCCTGAAATACAAGTCAAATTACTCTGCTTTTTAGGCTGTATATGCTGATTTGTTCCCTCTGGAGGATTTACTTTCTTTAGCTTTTCAGAAGCATAGTAATTATATTATACCTTTTAAACAATTCCAAATGTGTTATTCCATTTGAAGTAGTGAAAAAATTAAACATGGACATGAAATTGACACTTTTTTTTTTATTTAACAGTATAAAAAATACATTTAATCTAAGACAAAAATATATCTTGAATGGGTATTCCTTAAAAAAACATTATAAGATGCCCAATGAATATCACTTAGAATTTCAAGTGCTGGAACTGGCTGCGTTCTCTTGGTCAGTTCCTGGTTTACTTTAATTTTTCACTGTATGTGCACATGTTTTAGTGCATATGAAAATATGTTCATTAATGTCTCATAACAATATAATGATAAGATACAATATACAAATGTCATCTCATTA